AGTTTTACTTTCTAGCACCTCCTGAATTTTAAGAGTTCTACTATTCTATTTTAATTTCGAAGGGCTTCATGTTGTGTTTAATTTCAGATACACTTTTCTGTATTCTGCCAAATCTATTATCACTTATCCTAGGCAATCAACATCAGTAATTATGGTATTCTCCACCTTTTTATTCCTTATCTTTGTTTAGAGAAATAGTAAATGTTCAAATTACTCTTACAATACCGTTTTTACTTTGTTGATTTCAATATTTTGTTTTTCCAAAATATTTTGGTTTTAAACAATTAGTATCAATTTCACGTGACACACAATAAATATTTTTAATACAGATTCCATACTTTTTGCTTCCAAAGCATTTTCTTGAACTGTATATTTAGCAGTGCCTTGTTTTATTTTTTCAATCACTGTAGTCTATGCCCTACAATTACAATTTCTCGCTAATCCATGGTAATTATTTCTATTTTACTTTTCTTAACATTATGAACTTCTATCCTTGATCCTATTCTGATAGCTTTGCTTTACATGACACATACTTTTTTCCTCCAGATTTTATTTTCATATCTGTGTTATCTTATTTTTAATTCTTTTTATGTACAAAGTATCTAGACTGACATTTTATCTTAATATCATCGGTAATATATTTCTTCTTTGTATTTTTAAGATATTGGAGAAATGCTATTTATTTTTTTAATTACTTATTTTCTCAGATTCATGGCTTATGTTTGTGTTGTGGGGCTTGGTTTTTCATCGGATTATTTTCTTTGTATTGAGGTGTTTTGTCTACTATACTGGTTTTTTTTTTTTTTTGTTAGAAAAATGACTTAACAGAGAAATAAATTTTTTCTGGTAAATAATTCGCCATGGATTTATTTTATTGGGGGCATTTGTTACAGTTCCTTCAGTGTGTTACAGTTCACTTTCCTTATTTCCACAAAGAAAAGGCATTGATTTTTGGCTAGTGCCTCAGATTAAACCTGCTTCACTGGGGGCTGGAGGACGAGTTAAGTGCTTAATTCTCCCTAAAGTTGTGTCTCTTCTATTTTTCTAAAGCAGGTATTGATGGTAACAACAAATTTCACCAGGCTGGCTCACCTGAATTCCCGATCCAGTCACAAACCTAGCATAGGTTTTCTGCCCTACGTTTTCATATGCTGTGTTTCCCTTCGGCTTTGTGAGACTGGTGCTGGGGAAGCCTTAGCCACTGGCTTTGCTCTGCTTGGCCTGTTGGCCCTGCCCACTTCCAGCCCACCCTTCTCAGCTTCCACAGCTTTTGGAAATTGTATCCTTGTTTTGATGAATAATATTCCAGTCACTGAGATTTGGAAAGCTGGAGTTGACTAGATTTTATTTTTAATATTCATTGTTTAAAAATAACTGTGAAGTATAATTTACATTCCACAAAATTCTTTCCTATAAATGTGCAGGTTAGTGGTACCCAGTAAATTTACCCAATTGGGCAGTCATTTTGACAATCTAATTTCACAAAGTTTCTATTACTGCAAAAGCTATGTTGGGCCTGTTTGCAGTCAATTCTTTACTTTTTAAAAAATTTTACTTTATCATTTATATCACTAAGATTGTTCCATTGTTCTACTATGTTGTATTTTCATTTGCAATTAACATAGGGAGATAAAGTCTTATTGTGGTCAAAGAGGACTAACAATACACAAATCCTTCTTAGTACTTAACCTTCCTCTGTCTGATTTTTTATGATAGATTTTCCTATATCGTCTCAGATAAATCTCCTTCTCAAAGCATGAGACTATGAATAACACACCCAAAACATGGGGGTGTGCGCTGTAGTGCACTGGTGTTAATTATGATTTTGTGAAGTGATTTGCCTTTTCAGAGTCAGGCTTTGGAAGTACCATGAAATGAACTCATACTTCTTTAGTGCAGAAGAAAGTGACTTAAATTATAAGTTCCCAGTCATTTTCAATGAACAACTATAATTTTTAATGTTTTTTCTTAAAACAACTTGCTACATGAAAAATGTATTGTGATAAGTAGTAATACTGACAATCCCAAGAATTTGAGTATTAATGACAATCTTATTGTTCCTGATTAATTCCCATAAATCCTGGTTTCCTGAAATCCTTACAATAAATTGTCTCCCTTATAATAATTAAATACCTCAGTGAAATGCTGGATTTGTTGAAGTGCTGAGAGTATCCAGGAAAGTTTGCATTTGTTCTCAAACATTCCCAAAACTAAAGATGAAGCAAATTAATTAAAAATTGTAACTTAGAAGATTGACAAATCTTTCAGCTGTTATTAACACAAAGCTGTCACTGAATGCTTTCTATTTGACAGACAATGCCAAGCATCTTTATTTAATAATATTTTATTTACACTGATTTGATACCTATGGAAGCTGAGATTTAAACATGTTGACTAGAAAATTAATTATCAAGGATGGAGCCAGTAATAAAACTCACACAGAGCTGATATGGCTCTGCTATCTAACCTAGATAGATCGATTTTCCTTTCTATAAAGGTAGGAAATTTGAATATATTCTGTGCTTCTCAATATATGGAATAATTATAAATGTGCTACATTTAAGGATTTTCTGCAGTACCACTTTTCTTCCGCTTATTATGTTTCTGAGGAAAAATCATTTGAAAAGTATACGGCATTCAGACAAAATTCATCAAAATGATATAATCATACACTTCCATATTAAGATAGTATTTGTTCTGTAACAAACTCTCACATTTGTCAGATTGGGTAGAATTACTCAATTCAGTGTCACTAAAGGAACTGGTAAGTCTACGATTTAACAGCTCATTTCTAAGAATTGTTTCTAACCTAGCACATCCTCTCATTGTGCAATGAAAGCATGACTAAAAAAGAATTGCTTCAAATAACTAATATTTTTAGTACATATTATAGTTAGTGGTCAGTATGTGATGAAATTTCATTTATCTTCTTACATAGAAAAATCCATGAAAAAATATAAAATTCAAAATGCTAAAGTAATTTCAACTAAAACTGGAAATACGTAAGTCCATTATGAATTATCAATTTAATTTGATATAACTTGACCAAAACTTCACATAAAATTTGGCCTACGGTTTTAGTTAGGAGAAAAACCTGAATGTCACTAAACTGCTGAGTCTTACATCAACTCCTAAGTCCTTTTCAAAAACCAACTCCTCTTACTTTTTAAGAATCAGATGATGTCAACTTATAAATTTATCTGAGTGTGGAAAAGAAGCCAAGTGAAGTATGAGGGATAAAGAGTCTGCCATAGTGTTATAATCTACTCCCGTTCAGGTCACATCCATTAGAAAACTCTGATACAAGCAGTCTCTCTCTCTCTCTCTCTCTCTCTCTCTCTCTCTCTCTCTCTCTCTCTCTCTTTCTTTGTCTCTCTCTCCCTCTACAGTTATATCCACACACATTTGTGTGCACACATATCATTAAGCATGCTAAACATATTTAAATTCCATGTGGTTGTATACCAATACTTTTAGATAGTCTGCTGTTAATTGGTGTGCTAGAGTATAGTAAACATACCCCAAGTAATAGTCAGCAAATGTTCATAAACTAAATATGTACATACCATTATCTAAGAGGATATTAGCCAGTGTACTACAAGTTTTCCACTTCTTGATTTTTTTATCACTATTTTAACAGTGTAGTTAACTTTACCAGTTTTTGAATTTCACATTTTGCAAAATGCACTCTTTGGTTAAATGGCTGCTTTAGTGTGTGTGTTTGTGTGTGTGTGTGTGTGTGTGTGTATGAGCCTAGGTCTTGCTGCATATTCTATAATGCTGAACTACACCTCCACCCTCTGTGTACTTTTTTGTAAATCATAGTACTTCATGTATTTTTATTGTTCTATTTTTTCATTATTTCATTATTTGGGTATATTACATTTATCTATTATACTCAAAATATATTTAGGACATTTTAATTTGGGGGCATGAGGAGTAAAGTGGCAGTATTTTTCAGGTACACATTTTTGTGTATTTTTGTTTTATCTATATCTAAGTAGAATTATTGAGCCTCAGGGAATGTGTGCCTATTTTAGTGGTACAGTTTTCCCCATATGCTGGTTGAATCATGTTATATTCTTACAGCAATGTATCAGGGTCTCAGTACTCTCCTTCCTTGAAAATATATGCTATTTTTACCCTGTGTAGTGTCAGTTATAGTGTTAACACACTAGATTTTAAGAAGTGTCACACTGATGATGAATGAGGGACAGAGTGTCTTTATATTTGTTGAGTATCTACAGCAGGTGATTGGTTTTTCTCCTCGAAGTTTCCCCTGTAGTTTGAAGAATCCATGGTACATGAATTCTGACTCTTTCTTCTCAGTGATCTATAATAGTGTAAAAATACTCAATTTTTGTCTTCTTTTATATCATGCATTAGCGTTGGAATGAATAGGGAAGCAAAGATTATTTGAAAATATACACCTAGAAGTTAGTTTGCAGTATCTGATTGTATGAACTTGACATTTCTGATGTTACTCATCCTGAGAAGCCACTAAAGATTGATGTCACAGAAGTGCATAGTAAAGTGGTGATTACTAGGGGATGGGGAGCTTATGAGAACCTTGGAGGACTATTGGTCAAATGATACAAAGTATTAGTTATATATAAGGAACAAATACAAAAGACCTATTGTGCAACATAATGGCTATAGTTAATAATAATGCATTATAGTCTTTAAACTTGATGCAGGTGTGTTACACTCCCATTCCTAAAATGGTAACTATGTGAGATAATGAATATATTAATTAGCTAGCTTTAAGAATTCCATAATTCTCATATAGAATTCAAAATACATTGTACATGATAATACAATATTATTTGTGATTTTTTAAAAATGTAAATCTTTTAATTACTTTAAATACACATTTCACAAACTATTTTATCTATAATACAATATGAATAAATGTTATTAACTATTTAAATTTGAATCTATGGGTTGATTGTTGATTATTTTAAAATTAGTCTAACATCATGGTTTGCTTTTACTTTCAGATGCAACAACTGTTTCATGAAAATTATGAACACAATCGGAAGGGTTACATCCAAGACCTTCACAATAGCAAAATCCATGCAGCCATCACGCTGCATCCTAACAAAAGGCCTGCATACCAATACAGACTGCATAATTACATGCTCAGCCGCAAAATTTCTGAACTTCGCCACCGCACCATCCAGCTCCACAGAGAGAGTGCCCTGATGAGCAAACTCAGTAACAGTGAGATGAGCAAAGAGGACCAGCAGCTCGGCGTGATGCCCTCTTTCAACCACTTCCAGCCTCGGGAGAGAAACGAAGTGATAGAATGGGAGTTCCTGACAGGCAAGCTCCTGTACTCAGCCGCTGAGAACCAGCCTCCTCGACAGAGCATCAGCAGCATTCTAAGGACAGCACTGGACGACACTGTCCTGCAGGTAATGGAGATGATCAACGAAAATGCCAAGAGCAGAGGAAGGCTCATTGACTTCAAAGAAATTCAGTATGGCTATCGCAGGGTCGATCCCCTGTATGGGGTGGAGTACATTTTGGATTTACTGCTCCTGTATAAAAGGCACAAAGGAAGGAAGCTGACTGTGCCAGTGAGGCGCCATGCCTACCTCCAGCAAATGTTCAGCAAGCCTTTCTTCAGAGAAGTGGAAGAGCTTGATGTCAACGGTCTTGTGGAGAGTATTAACAGGGACACTCAGTCATTCTCCTTTATATCTAACTCTTTGAAGATATTGTCTTCCCTTCAAGGGTCCAGAGAAATGGGAGAACGTAATGAAAAGAAAATACACATTCTTGTGCCCCTCACTGGAAGATATGACATTTTCTTGAGATTCATGGAGAACTTTGAAAACACGTGTCTTATCCCAAAGCAAAATATAAAGTTGATCATCATTCTTTTCAGCCGGGATTCTGACCAAGATTCCAACAAGCACATTGAGCTGATAAAAGACTATCAAAACAAGTATCCTGCTGCAGAAATGACCCTAATTCCTATGAAGGGTGAGTTTTCCAGAGGCCTTGGTCTTGAAGTGGCCTCTTCCCAGTTTGACAATGATACTTTGCTGCTATTCTGTGATGTCGACTTGATTTTCAGAGGAGATTTTCTCCAACGATGTAGAGACAATACAATTCAGGGACAACAAGTGTACTATCCTATCATCTTTAGCCAGTATGACCCAAAGGTAACCAATGGGGGAAATCCTCCCCCTGATGATGACTTTGTGTTCTCAAAGAAGACTGGATTTTGGAGAGACTATGGCTATGGGATCACTTGTATTTATAAAAGTGATCTTTTGGGTGCAGGTGGATTTGATACCTCAATACAAGGCTGGGGACTGGAAGATGTGGATCTATACAATAAAGTTATTCAATCTGGCTTAAGGCCTTTCAGAAGTCAAGAAGTCGGAGTGGTGCATATTTTCCATCCAGTTCATTGTGATCCTAACTTGGACCCTAAGCAGTACAAAATGTGCTTAGGGTCTAAAGCAAGTACTTTTGCCTCAACCATGCAACTGGCTGAACTCTGGTTAGAAAAGCATTTGGGTGTCAGGTACAATCGAACTCTCTCCTGACACTCCCGGCAGCAAGTGTTGCCTTTTTAAAGGGGAGTTTACCTCATCGTTTATTGTTATTTTTATTTTATTATTGTTATTATTATTGTTATTGTTATTTTATTTTGGTGTCAGGGTCATAAACTCCTCTTGGTTGTCTTCCAAAGGGTGTTTTTTGACCTCAAGAAAGAAGAGTCTGCCATTCACTGATATTTCAGAGTTCTACTGAAGTCAATATGTGTATTACTTTTATGTATCTTTATTTGCGACTGAGTTAAATCATGGCAATCAAATGACTTCCGAAGTTCATTCATCACAAGAGACAGCTTAGAAGAATGTTCTCTTAGGGCTTAAAGATGCAATATCTACTCTTATTTTGTTTGTCAAATTCAATGTGATACAAATACTGGTGAAAGGTACCACAAAAGTGCTTTATGCTTCCTATGGGGAAGGGACTCTGTAACATAAACTTGAGTTTTGTAATTTATACGAGGACTTAAATATATAGACAAAATTTTCTTCATCTTTAGAATTTTTAAAGTAAATGAACACTTATGATTGTATGTTTATTTTTTAAAAAAAGTTTTAAAAATTGAGGAGTTTTGTTCCACAAGCAACCGGTACTGGCTACCCTGGTCTTATGACATTATGAACTCCTCGTAACTGCTATAAATGCGAATGAACTTTATTTTCTCAAGGAAATATGATTTAATTAAATATTCATGTACATTTTAGAAGCTTTATGAAACAATGTTCTTCATTTGCTGGCAAGAAGATAAAATATGACAGAACCTGTTTATTTATAATAAAATACAGGTATAGCAGTATTCTTTTTCAAAAGCACTGAAAAAGTTTTGTCGTTTTCTTTTTGTGGTTTTTTGATGTATTTCTTAATGGTCACCCATAAAATGCTTGTTGCACAGGCTGAAAATGTTAAGAAGGGACTATAGGTGTGTTCTTTGTATGTTTTGTTTTGGAGCCTTGCCTTCATAAGGAGTTAACACAAGCAGTTTCTCTATGCAATGATCTGAAAACTGAGTGACATTCTTCCTTGGTCTGCACAGCGTGAAGATTCAGTACATCCAAAAATAGTTCAGAAACTGTCTTTATTTTAGTTGGGGTTATCTGAAAGACTTAGCAAATACTAGGTAAATTACAAACATAGCATTAATTTTACATTATAAAAAACAGTAATATGTTATCTCGTTTCCCATGTCCTTCTGTCTTAGCACCAAATCAGTGATGTCCTGTTTGTAGAAAAGTATCATTATGTTCAAGAAATTCAATTTAAAAAATGAATATTCATGCAAGAATTCATCATGACATATTTTTAAATTTCAATTGTGAAAAATAACATACTTACATGTTTTGAAAGTCAAAGTTGTAAAATTTTAATATTTACCAGCCTCTCTCCATCAACACATGTTCCCATGATCACAATTAACTATGGTTTAAGGTTTAATGTATTTATGTGACATATATTGATGTATAGGTCCTTCTCGAGTTTCTAAAGCAGGAAAAATGCATTTATTATCCTTATAGTTTTTAGATAACATTTTGTGCTTTTATTTTCTTTTTTCATCCTATTAGAAAATATTTGACAGGAAAGTTAATTTGAAGGTGATTGTCATTAATTGTTTCCATGTTGTTGAACAGACCCAGGGCACATAGCATTTGTCTTAGAAATGAGTTCCTTACATGTAGCAACCTTTTTCAGTGAAGATACTTGGGAATTTCAAAACATATCATTGTTTGATATTGAGAAAAACATTCAGTAATCTCTTTGAGAATAATATAGAATCTTAAAATGTCAAGTTCATTAGAAATTAGCGACAATTTTATTTTTTAAAATGCTAATCTTTTTTTTTTTTTTTTTTTTTTTTTTTTGTCATTTTGAGACAGGGTGTTGCTATGCAGTTCAGGCTTGCCTTGGGCTCATTTTGTAGCCTAGGGTGGTCTTGAACTAGAAAGATTTTCCTGCTTCAACCTCCCGAGTGCTGGGATTATAGATGTGCACCACTGCTCCCAGTTTTAAAATGCTAATCTTGACAGAACCGACAATTCAGAATTAATCTCTGCTCTAATATTGTCTGAAGCTATCATAACCCTTTCTTTCATAGCTTGTTCTCCTACATTACATGATTTAGTAGTTTTGTGGGATTCATTTTTATAAATAGATAAGTATTGCAACATTCAGTGATGATACTTAGATCTACTGCCAAACAATAATGATTAATAATTTGTTAGTGAGGAAAAAAATCAGAGTCTGCTCTTTAATTTAAACAAATGAAATGTGATAATTTTACAGAAGAATAAATGTAAAGGTCCATTTAAAAACATTCCCAGTCCTACAGAGTTAGAGACGGCTCTCGAAGGATGTCTTTTTCTGTTATACTGATAGTACTATATACAGAAGTAACAATTAATTGTACATACACACTATGCAGAATAGTTAGTGTAATCACATTTACAAATCAGCTGTTTAATTTTGCATTAAAGTTTCTTAGAGTTCTTTATTCAATATCTGACTGAAAATATAAAGGGTAAAGGTATAAAATCACATGTTTTCTGTGTAATATCTATGAGCTAAATACCTTTACAGTTGGATGGTAGCATCTTGTGAATGTAATCAAAAGCACAATATATCCACAGTAAGCCATGCACCACTGTCTTACCTTCTTGGGATAACTATGGATGTTCTATTAAGTGTTCCCCCAATCACAGCTCCATCCATATGCAACATTATCTTACTGATCATCTATTACTCACTCAACATTACACTATGTGTTTTACTTGAATTTTATTTTTAAATTTAATATTCCTAACAACTCTCATAATATTGATATTATGTTATACGTTCAACAGATAGGGAAACCAAGGCCTTGAATGTTCAGAGTTCACCCAGTTGGCATATTGTATACTTAAGGTTCAAAGTAAATGCTGTGTAAATCTGGAGCACCTGTTTTGCATTCTCCCCAGCAGCTTCTCAGTTGCTGAAGGGATGTAAGCAGTGAGGAAGTGCAGGTCTAGTTGATGCCAGAGACGTAAACGATCCATCATTCAGTTTGCTTCTGCTACACGTTCATTCTGGATAGAACCAAGCTTGCCGGTGTTCGGTTAGTTAGAGTCTCCTAATGTTTCCATCTCAAACAAGTTCCAACCACTTTGCTAGCTTCTGCAGTGCTGTACTGTGCCAGGGAAGAGAAGAACTTTTCTGTCTGCTTGCTCACAGGATGCCAGAGTTCGGTGGGATGGCAGTGCTCAGAGTTCCAGATGCCAGGCCCTGCTCTTCTACGTTACTGCAGCAAGCTGAGTATAGAAGCTGTCAGCAGTGCACACCACCACATCATTGCTTGACTGTTTAAGTGACTTTACCGAGACTCAGTAGAAGCAACATGGGTGATAATGAAATATATTTGAATGCAGCAGATGAGTATATTATGCTGTTATACTTTGCAAATTACAGAAATGAAATACACAAATGTGTGGACAGATAATCCAACCGAGGGAATAAATGCTCACTGGAAACAAAAGATAAAGTAATTTCAGTATAAGAAAACTGGGGGTTCACTATAGGCAGTAGTCCCAGGGATGAGGCATTCTGGTTTTATTTTTAGATTGGCCCTGAGGATTTCTTTCCTCTGGAAGTGGGACCAAAAAGATGAGGCTCCCTTTCAATAGTTTGTATTGCTCATCTGGGAGTCTGTATGTTGCACAATTGGCTGGGACTAATTGCTTTTTCCTGGAGAGTGTATCCTAAGGTAGACATACATGGATTTAGAGATTTGCTCTCTCTCTTTTTTAACTTCTGCCCTCAGAATAAAAAATACCGTATGTGTACACAGATAAAGTATGCCAAGATAAGTCTCAAGTAACACAATAGGTGCAGCTTCCTGTTGATTTTGACCAGGAGATTTGTTTGGAGAAATGAAACCATCTGCACATTCAAAATGATGTAACCAGGCTGCTTTCTTTCACTATTGCCATTTTCTTTTTGTGCCACTGCACCTGTTGTCCTGAAAGTCACAGGAATCTAGTGATCTCTACCCTAGAGGTATCTCTCCAAGGAGACTGTAAGTAATCTGGAGACTTATCCACTTAAAATCATATTTGATTTAATTATCTAATGCTAATATCTTCAGGAAGTAGCTTATGATTCTGGATATTACAGGACGAATGGATACAATCATGTTCTTATGAACAGTAGAGGAATCTGAGTAATTCTTAGTATGCTGGCTTGCTTACCTTTCTCTCTGAATTATCAGCATCATAATAACTTTCAAACACATTGTAGAGTTTTTTGTGAGTCTAGAAGCTTTCTAGAGCTTCAGCTTTCAAGCAGTGGTGACAGAGGAACTAGAGCAGAGGCTGTGAATATCGCGGTGTGGTCACGCCTCGGTGTGCCCCACAGTCTTGGTCCGATGCCAGCCGTGCTGCCAGCTTTACTTCAGCAGATGGTGAGGACGATGTGAGATAGCAGCAGTGATTCATGCCCCAGGTGGGGATGCAGTCAGCATCTGCATCAAGCAGCACAGCACCTGGTGCCAGGGCAGCGGTGCCAAGGTATTCGGGTGTCAGCTGCAGTTTAACACCCAACTGTCCGTTGCTTCCTTTCTGATCTCAGAAGATAAGCTCTGGGCCATGCTTGGATCCCACTGCATGCAGGATTTTATTTCAACTGAATTCAGTCAGTATCTGTTATGTTCCTAAATTGGCATTAAAACCGAGAGACTACTGAGTTGGCTTTTTTGTTATACATATTTATACATGTTTCCTGCTCCGTGACCACCTTCCTCAGTCTTTACCCGTTAGGGGTGATTAAAAGAGTTTTGTAATCATGCAACTGGAATAAAATTTTATATAGAATCTTCCTACAATAAAAAGAGAGATTTCAGCAATGAAATAAAATCCACCACCACAGCACAGAAGTCACCATAAGGCTAATCTATTTCCGGGTATATATTGAGAACTTATTTGTGAGCAATATTCTCAAGCATAAATGCTGTTTGCCAGAACATGCATTGCCTGATGCAGGTTTCTCTGTCCCTGGGCTCCCTTCTGTGGCTCTGTTCTCTTCCACCTCTTTCTCAGTATTTTCTCCACTTCTGTTCTTCAAACTTCCACAAACAGCATATTTTCTCACTTTATCCAAGAGAAGTGCATGGATATACTAAAAGAATCCAGAATGTATGTAAAATATCCAAAAATCAGAATATGAATCTGCTTCTATTGGTTTGATATTTGCATTAAAGATTAGCTGGTCAAAATTAACCAGGGCCAAAAGTTTATATAAAGATAAAAATAAATACTCCCAAGCTCAGAGTTTTCGGCCACATCCATTTGTTTCCATTTCTATCTGCTGACATTCTGTCACACAATGAACTTCATTTTTTTCCCCTTTCCTACTCATACTCACCTAAATGATTCAATACCTATTTCCAAAAGGAATTTCTTTAATTGAAGATAAATGAAATGTTACAGTACTAAGAGTCACACTATTTTCTTCTTTTTGATTTGTCTTTTAGTTTTCCGGCAGTCTTAGCATGTAGATGACCCTCATTTCCTGTTGATATTGTCTGGACTTTCCTATACCAGTATATTCTCCCTGTTGTCCATGCTCAAGACCCGCACAATACAAATGATATAAAATTAATAATAAAAATTTCTAATATTGGATTTTAAAAGATATTACTATATAACTTGGAAAACTGAATGACAAGATTAAAATAAATTTGAAACTCTATCCTCATTGGTAATCCTGGTCTATAAAAGGTGTTGGAATTTACTTTCCTTTTTGTTAGTTCACTAAAATGTTAGAGGCTTTTTTTGTAAATCTGCTAAGTGTTTATACTAAGGCAGAAATTTAGACCTCTTTGATCCCCTTTATCTTCTCATTTCTCAATTAATCTGTTTAACATTAAATTCAGAGCTTAATGGAAAACAAAATAGCATCAAAATATTTACTGAATTAATTATTCATTCATTTATAGGAAGAAGCTTCATGAATGCATCTTAATTAATGTGTAATTTTAGGAAATGTCTTCCAGGGAAAACTAGTTCACATTGAAATACATCAGAATATATATAGATTTCTAGTAAGCTATTTTTATAACAAGCTTAACAATATCAAGTATCACCACTTGTCCCAGTATAAGAATGGTCATATTTTCATGTTTTACATAAGAGAAATAAGCTTCTTTTAATAAATTTAAAACTTAAAATGATTTGTGATAAAAGGAAATGAAGCTGTTATAAGTATTTTCTTTTATGTCTTTCCCCTTAGCCAAGTAGTAGTGGATTTAAAGAAAGTTCACTTTGTCTCCAAACATTTCTCCTATGTATCATTTAACACAAGAATCTTTTTCAGGGCTGGAAATGCAGCTTAGACTGCTTGCTTAGCTTAAGCAAGGCCCTAGTTAAATCCTCAGTACAAGAAAAATTAAAGGAATGAATATTTTAAAATCACTTTAATAAGGAAGGACAAAAAACACAGTGTTGTATTTATGTTATTTGACATTATCAAGACAGCTGCTGTTTACAATATGATTCCTTACCCATCACTGTTACTCAGGAAACCTTATCTCTATTGAACTTCACCCAGTTTAAAAAAAAAAAAAGGTATCAGGTATCATTTTTCCCATTTTACAGAAAAGCAAAATCTTTCCTCAGTATGTACTAAGCCAGGGAGTGTGTGTCTATTTTCCACCTTTAAAGATTCCTTAGGGCACTGTTTGAGTGAGATGACATACATTTAAACTAGCAACTGTAAGCAAGAGTGGAATATTTCTGGCAGAAAGCTTTTCTTTCTTCCCTTACTTTTTTTTCCCTCCTTACTTTTTTCTTTCACTGAGCAAATATACACTAATTCATTATTTGATTCAAGGTCGCAGAAGAAAATTTCATTTTATTCAAACAAGTTTACTGATGCCTTGGTCTTTTCAATCTACATTAAACGACTAGTTTACCCATAATACAACAATTCAAGATATTTCCACAGCAAACCATCCTAAAAAGCAATTAATATATTATGGAAATTAAACTCACAAATAATGGGAAAGGTTTCTATACAAATACATATCATTTTGGAATGAAATCATATGGTTAGATGTGTTTGAAATGCATACTTTTAAATAAACACAAATAAGTTTATTAAATATATTAGTTTATGCTTCTCAGGTACGTAGTTCATTGTTGTATTGCAATAGATCCTGGAGACATTTTTGAAATGTATTATTTAATAATTACTAATTGATGAAAAAATTTTTGACTCGTATATATGAAAAACATTAAGTGATTTGTGAAATAACAAATACTATCGTATAATTCATAACACACTTTTGGTAAGAAAAAATAAAGTTCTATTAAGTCAGTTGTAGGTATTATCTTGAGAATATTCTATACTCAAAACCTATAGGAGCTTAAATTCCTCTCCAAAAAGTAATAACTACATGAAAATTGAAGATATTCCAAAATTTTTTTCTAAACATTAGTCTTTCCCTTTTCTTCCTTCTGTGCTTTTATGTATTTTTATAAATTCTCTTATTTTCTAGATGCTTTTGATATTAAAACTTCTTTCTTTAGGAAGCAGTGAACATGCTCCTCACCCAGATCTTTAACTTGTTCCTCTTTTATTTTTCTTGTTCTGGGTAGCTTCTCTGTCACACAAGCAGAATAGCTAAATTCATTTCTCATTATAAATGATTTCTTCAGAAACAAAATACATTAAATTTTAAATTATACTATATCTTTAAAAAATCCTGCCTTACATATTTAATAAAAGGGTTTTAAACATTAGTGACTAGAAAAATCATCTCAAAGTTGATCAAAGACGTAAAGCCCCAGCTTTCTAGATGAAGTCAAATGCACTTTTTAAAATTAATGTATTTTGAAAAACTGAACCCTGCTTTAGAAATCACTGGCTTCCTCTTATTTTACAACAATGCCTAAGGATATTTTGCCTCCATTTCCATAAGAATCTACACTACCTTTTGAAGACTTGAGTTATTGTATGTCATAAAGCTCCAAATTAAGCAAAATATAGATGATGTATGGCTTTATTGCTGCTTCATTTTTTTAAGTCTCTAAAGTTTTCTGCAATTAATTGCAGAAAGAGCTTCTAGTCCTTGTCATAGTGACTGCCCCCGTGTTCAGCCTTTGCACCCTTCATCCTCTTTGGAAACCCACGTCATCCTGCTCTTCTACCCCAGCTTCTGCCTAGCATTTTTTAAAATTTTATTTTAAAGAGAATGAAACCCAACAACATGAAACAGAATAAAGCCAATCAAAACAAAACAATGAAAGTGATACAGGACTTCAGTACAAAATAGTAAGAAATAAACAATGGCTACCATAATGCATCTTGTTATCTTCAAAATAGCTGCCCATGCCATCAGGCATAACAGAATCTAGCAAAACAGAATAAAACCAAACAAAACAATATGATGAAAATGATACAGGACATCCAAACAAAGTAATAGGAAATTAACAATGGTTACCACTTTCCCCTGAGCAAGCCAAGACATCTCCACTGTGGATCTCAGGTTGCTTCTCGACCACAGAAATTGTGTCCTTGAAATCTTCCTAGAGTTGGATCTTTTTTGTAATTAACATCTCATTACAGATGTCACCTTATCAGAGAGACTTTTTTTGGATTTCCCAGTCCTCAGTAACCTCCACCACTCCTTCCCCACTGTTTTCACTGACCTCATAGTTCTTTGCCAATAGATAATTGTTACCATTCTGAGGCAGCGTCTCCTGTGTTTCCATCTGGTATATTCACTTCACAGTGAATCTGGTGTATTTGTTATTGTTGTTATATTACCCTCTGCTTGTCTCCTTGCCGTCTAGCATATGTTTCATGATAGTAAGAACACTCCCCATGCATATTGTGAGAAAAGACACCCAGATCTATGTTGCTCCATTTTGGAAGTGGGCCTGGGTAAACTCAAAGATTCAATGCCCAGTGTATGAACCTGATATGAGAGACCAACTGAAGCTCAGTTTCACTTTCCTCCTTTTATTTTTGTCTGCTCTGTTCCCTACCATCTTTAATCTTTCTGTTCCCCTACTACAGCATTGGGTTTTCTTTGTCATTCATTCATTTTACTCCTCTCCCAATTCATATATTAGCAACTTTTTTCTTCCTCTAAAATAAATTTTGGTTAAGCAACAAGTAGTACATGAATAAATGACCCTGTTCACACAAGATGATAATAAAACATACCAAAAAAATCCCAAAATGAAAATGTTCTTCAGGGTATCCGCAAGGATGCTATTGCTTCTATTGTTTTCTTCCAACTCCATGCAACCATGGCATAGTTCATTTTTAAATTTTGTTTATTTCACATAGAATGTGAAAATATACTGAGTCTCCGAGTGACATTGTATTGTCACTTAGTCCATACAACTTTTTCTGGTGTTTAAAGTTTCAGTACTGTAACTGAAGAGGCTGTAAATGTTCTTGCACACTGGACAGTTCTGGGGTCCATTAGTGCCTTTTATGGGCTCAGGGCTCTACCTTGTTGAGAGGTAAACTATATTTTGAGATTGACTGTGGTGCATGAATCAATCTTACCATGTACAGAATTCCAGTAAAGCTTTTAATACAAAGGTAACAATTTCTGATTAATTCATGAGGACACCCTGGTTAGCTTCAGTTTATCTTTTCAATATCCACAATTTAAAATCTTCAAAGGAGCCAATCCTAGAAAAAGAGGTGATTTGATAAGCACAGGG